AGAATAATAATAATAATAATAATATTAATAATAATGATGATAATAACAATAATGTAGTGTATTGTAAGTGAGTTAAGTATTGTGTCGTGTTGTAATTAGAGTAAGGCAATGTAAGTAATTATGTGTTTAGCAATAAAAAAAAAAAAACAAAAAAAACTTTAGACTTGGATGTGATCAGGTCGTGTATGCCAGTTGGCATCAAGTGAATATTTTCTTCAGTTTTTTTTCTATAATTTTTTGAGCTGAGGTAGAACAAAATATTTTATGATTGGCCTCATGCAAACGGTGAGTTCCCAACCCTCAGTGAGTTCTAAACTCCTTTGTGTCAGGAAACACCGAGGGTCTCAGGAAAACAAAACTAACTGTTTCCCTTGGCGACAGTCATTAAGTGCTTAGTAGCACATAACCAACAGGACTTGATGACTTTGAGTTACGTCACTTAGGGAAAAGTGGCGGTGCAGAGGTGAAAGAGCTTGCCTCGCCTAAAACCTGAGAGAGCTAATCTAATATATTTAGAAGAATGAAACATTACAGAATGTTGGAAAAACCGTCTGAACAACCTTGACTTTTTACCAATTCAAAATGTCAGGCAATGTCATTTCCATGATGGGGCAAAGTATGAAAAAATTTCACCGAAGAAAAGCATAAATATTGAGGAGTTTAAGTCAAAATGAGGAATATATCTGCCTGTCATTAGATGAGATTTGCCATGGTAACGGCCTTAATCCAAGAATTGACAACCAAAATAGAAGCCTTATTTTAAGAGTACCCATGGTGGTAAATCTCTACAGGGAAAACTTTAAGAGAAATTAACTAAGTTCCCTTTTCTAACTCGCACTCTATAGGGAGGGTGTTCATAAATTCTCTAGGGAGCCAACTTAACAGATCATACCTTCTTCTTCTTGTGCTTGATCTTCTTGGGGGTTGTGTAGTTCTTCTTCTTTCTTTTCTTTGCTCCTCCTCTCAGTCGAAGCACAAGATGAAGAGTGGACTCCTTCTGGATGTTATAATCACTAAGAGTGCGTCCATCTTCGAGCTGTTTACCAGCAAAAATCAATCTTTGCTGGTCAGGTGGAATTCCTGGAGTAATGAAGGGTCAAGATGTTAATTGAATCTTTGTGTGTTTTTTTTTCAGTGTTTGTACATACTACTTACTGCACTTATGGCAATGCTTATGTAAACTTACCATCTGGTAAGAAGTGAAAATCAAACTAGATCACTCATAGTAATACTATAAATGGCAACAGTTTTCAATTGAATTGTGCAAACCCAGTTAGAAGAGCACATGTACATTGACTCTAAACAAATGCAAGTTAACCCAAAATTTTTGGTTCAAATAACTGTATGCTGCTGATTGTTAATTAGTGTTGCTTGGCACTTGCAGTAAAACTCTAGAACCACCGGGCAAAATTAAGATCACGGTCAACTATTTTATCAGAAGCGCAGTCTCCAAGGACATCTGTGCTGGTATATTCACCAAGTTTCTTGCTTGAAAGTTCTGCTTTGCTCAAACCCAAAAGACATCTACTGCAAAAAAGCTGGACTTGCCCAGCAAATAAAACTGACTTATACAATGTAGTACAGGACAGGACTTGTTACCTTCCTTGTCTTGGATCTTTGTTTTGACATTCTCAATAGAGTCACTAGGTTCAACCTGGAAGGAAAAAAAAAAGTTACTATTTTTGTTTACTATACTGTACATATACAAACCACTAAGATTAGCACTAGAGTTGCAAAATAATTTCCTGTAAATAAATAAATAAAATCAACAAATTAACTTTGTTTAACGAGGGTAACACACAACAGTCTTGCGACTGACAAACCCATGGCCCTCACTGTTTTATTTAAAAACAACAAAAACAAAAAACAACTTTCTGTGGCCAAACTAAAAATATGTTGTCAAATGTCAAGTTTTAGTAAAATGTGAAAAAATTTACCTCAACAGGAAAATCTCACATGAGGGTGATATAAATCAAATGATCACTCCCCACCCCCCCGGGAAAGAAGGGAAACTTATTTAGACAGAACAGGCTACAGTTGACCTATATTACAATCTAAGTGGCACCCCTTCACAGCTTTATACAATTTTCCTAAATGTTCTCCAAAAAATTAAAAAGTTAGCTACAGATCATCAAATTTGATGAACCTGCTGGCCATTCATCAAAATATTGCACAGAGGTGTTCAAGTGTTGCTACGTGACGCAAGCAACAGTACCTGAGAATGTAGGTCAAAATGCCCCTGACATAAAATGCCCCTGGATCCATTATGTAGAATAAACCTAGGCCCTGGCCAAAAGGGAGATGTTTGGTGATCAAACATGATCAAAGATTGTCTGTTGATGAAACCATTTCCCATTTGGACACCTTGTTTGATTGTATTTGATAAAACATGTTTGATACCATATGGCCACTCAGTACAATGCCAGCTTGTTTGGTCGCCACACATTTCCCATTTGGACAGGGCCTAATTGAACACTCAAATTTTCAGTACACCATAAAACTTACGAATAGGAAATACAAAACCAGTTTTCTTTCTATACCAGAAGTTCTTTTCATAGTGAATTCATAGCTGTTTTCTGCGTACTGTGAATGGCATGTTTTGTCTGAGGTACTTTGTCTTCACGCATTTTGACTAGTTTTGGTTTTTGGGTTTGCAAGTTCAACTTTAGCTCACAGTTTAAAAAGTTAAAAACACTGCCCACATTCTAGCAAGCAAAGGAACCCTTCCATATATAAAGACTACATAGGCCATTAGGCGACTAAACTTTCTTGCTCACCACTTTAGGATCTTGCATTACAACTTATGCCGGAGTATTTTTTAATATCGTTTTCAAGCCTAAGTTGCGGAATTACGTTGAATTAAATTCCACTGAAGTCTGAATTAAGCCTTATAAGCTTACAGATTTACTTTGACACCGATGAACAAAAATACAACATACAAATTTCAACTGGCCCAGTGCAGCCGGGAAATTGTAGAGGAACTGTTTCGACGAATAATAAATTACTGGCCCGGTTTGTACCTTGTGTTCACATAGCGGCCAGACATACACGTGTGACAAACTTTACACTCACCTCAAGTGTGATAGTTTTCCCCGTCAGAGTTTTCACGAAGATCTGCATGGCTCCGCTTGAAAACTTCCTGTCGAATACAAAAGTGCTCAAAGATCAGTCATGCCAAGTTTCTTTCGTTGAACTTTGCGAGTGTGGAATGTTAAAAGCTCAAACCTATCAATAAAACTCGAACCTTTTACAAGATGGCGGAGGACCACGAGAAAGAGGATGATTAGGGGTGGCCTACTCTTTTCAATCAGGGGTTCCCTCCGCTGACCAATATGTCCGTTGTGAACATCTCGAAGAGGTTCATTCCCAGGGGCTCTCGGCTTTCACCCCAAAAAAGAACACATTAGCCTTACAGTTTTTGATACGAAGATTCGAAGTAGGGTCAAGAAAACTCCCGGAAAACAGCAGGGAAATCAGCCGCTGAAAAGTAACGGGCCTGTTGTAAGCGAAGAGCTAAATTGGGGGTGTCATAGAGGATGGCTTGGGGGTGAGGTGGTAAAGGGGGCTAATCGACTTATGTGGGGTTTAACTGGCTTCTGGTTGAGGGCTAATTGCCTAATAGCTGATCGACTTGGGTGCTATAAACGACCAGATACCGATAAGAGGATCCAATCCTTAGTATTACATCGCGTGACCGAGAATTAAAAAGGACCACTTCCCTGCGCAAGGATGACACGCAAATTCGTGAAGCGTTCCAAATTTTTTTTTTTTTATGGGAGGCGCGGTGGCCTCAAGGTTAGTGCACTCGTCTCCGGATCGAGCGGTTCGGGTTCGAGCCCTGGCCGGGGACATTGTGTTGTGTTCTTGGGCAAGACACTTTACTCTCACAGTGCCTCTCTCCNGATGGACTAGCATCCCATCCAGGGGGGAGTAGAAATACTCCTAGTCGCTTCATACTACAGAAACCGGGACAAGCTCCGGCCTGATGGGCCACCTGGCTCGTACATATGCAGACAGACTTCCATTCGAACAAAAATTCTAGTTTGCATTTCCGAAAATTTCCTTTGGCGAATAGAACAGCAATTTGCGGAATTTTCAAAAAAGAGGACAACCTCGAAAGGTATACCCAAATATTTGGAAATTTCTTACTGGGAATTTCTGTTCCTCCTGATATTACCGGAATTTTCGGTTGACTGGTCCGCTTTTCGGAAATTCAACAATTTCCGGATTTCCTGGAAACTTTCCCACGAAATTTCCTTGCCCATTTGAATTGGTACCAATCGTCGCTGATTCGAAAATTTTGGTTGAATGGAAGGCGCCCCAAATGTCGGATCTCTCTCAGCTATAGCGGCATGAGAACACCAAAATTCTGTCTTCGCACGTCTTCTTCGCTTGTTCGACGGCACCGATGGTTTAGTCCCCGTAGTGTTTGGTGGCGAAAAGAAACCCGCTGATTTTTAGGGGCTGCACGGATGGCTGTCATGGAAACTGGCTTCCTTGCAAGGAGCCAGAGGCAAAGAGAACAATGGCAGACACAAAGAGGAACGGGGAGGGGAGGAAGGGAAAAGATACCGCCCTCGTCGCCAGCCTCGACATCAAGGTGAGGTCGGACAGTGACAAAGGACCTCACGGTATTAAATATGCGAATCTTCCAGTTCAAATGAAAAAAATCCTGTGTACGTGAATTGTTTACATAACCACTTCTGTCCAAGGCTATACACCCCTTCAGTAATTGCCACATACCGTGTCATCTGGCTGTTTGCTTTATTGTTTATTATCTCTTTACTTTTTCATTCTCTTATCAATTCCTTTATTACAATTTGTATCAGTAATCATAACACTCTGAAAGTGGTCACACCATCTGGCGCGATCAGTTGATCAGAAAGATCGATACGAAAACTGTGGCTCAGTTTGGTCTCAGAGACTGGAATTTGTCGTCAACTGATTTTTGCTCCCCTTTTTAATTGTTTAACAATATTGGTTTAAACCTAATTTGCGCTGAAAATTTCTTTAACCTCTTCTGAATTTAATTAAATAATCAGTTCCTTTATCGTCAAAGCGTGAAGGTTTTTTTTCTCTAATCACATCAAATGTTGGAGGTTAGTTTCTTCAAGGGCACACGTAGAAGTCTTTCACATTAGGATCTGCATCGGAGGTAAACTTAAAAAAAGAAGGAAAACCGCAATATGTTAAGATGCCGTAAATCGTCGAATAAGCACCAGGAATGCTTATTTCAAATTTAGAAGAAGACGGGAGAGGGTTTTTTTTTTTCTCGAGGGAGGCTCTTAAACGAGGGGAGGGGACACTTATTTAAAGTTTAGAGCCTTCACCAAGAGTGTGGTGACTGGGAAACAATTGAAAGAACATATTTTGCATGTGAAGGATATGGGCAAATATATGGATCGAGAAATTGCAGGATGCAACTTAGAAGTTGAAACTGGTTTAATGTATTGTAGCGATTGTGTTAAAAAGGTTGGACGAGAGTGATGAAACACGAACGATGCTATAAATATTCTGTTGTCTCAATACTCACCCATATAACGTGAGGGAGGGTAGAGGAACGCTTATTCGATGGAGTGGGGTACTTATATTAAATTTTAGCCGATAAGAGGGGCGCTTATTCGAAAGGGGCGCTTATTAAAGGTTATGCGCGATAACTAGAGGATTTGTTTTCCTATACAGATTCTATGGCTCTGTTTCTCTGGTCACAACCGGCGTTTTTCCAGTTGTAATGCAAGCGCCCGAGTCAAAATCTCTTACTTTCGACAGTGTTGAGAAAACAGAAGGTCTGTGAGCAGACTGAAGCTTTTCGGCAACTTTATAAAACTCAGGACAGTTCTTTAAGTCAACAGCTGCAATTATGACTTACTTGTTCAGTGAACTGGTCGACACAAGCCACTCTCATGCGCTCACTGGTAGCAGGACTGTCCAGTCTGAAGTTACCTTCAACACCTGACTCACGTCTACATGGTGAAACAAAATTAATAACAAACCTTGCGCTGCCTTTAGAGCCAAACACACGATGTAACTTAAGTTACAACGCCTTTTAAATATCCCAAAATGTTTGCTAATTATCGTATTTATGTTTATTTATGTCAAATATATGTTGGTTGTTTTGGTCATTTTCTGTCTTGAAAGTGTCTGTTAAGGAAGCGACCTTACTGTCATCTGCTATTACCCTCACAAACCTAAACAGCGGATAGCGTTCATCTGATAGCTCTGATAGCTGAAGATTGGTCAAAATTGTAACTGTATCAGGTGCCAGTCATGTGCCAGTCATGTGCTAAGCATGTGCTAGTCATGTGCTAATCATGTGCCAGTCATGTGCTTGTCACGTGTTAGGCATGAGCGAACATTTTTAAAAAAATTCCTTGACTCACCTAGCGTTGGTGATAGCATCCTTAATGGCGAAAAGCGAGAAACAGAGAAGGTTTTCCAACACCCTGAGTTAACCAAGGCACAAAACGTAAATTAAAAAGCCTACTTTGCACTACTTTGTATTAAGCCACTTCAAGCCCCTTAACTCTCAGTCGCTGTTCCAAAGAAATTAGGCTTTCCTTAGCCTGCTTCTCAGACAGTTCGAGGTCCCGCACCAAAACACCCTCTGAGGCTTTTCTACCAAGCTTGTAATACAGAAAACCTAGATTTTCCACACTAATAGATCTAAGTGGAAGACCGGGGTGGCTTTAACTCTCATAAAGGAGCCTGATAACATCTCTCACCAGGTCTCACACGAATGACTCGGTCCCCTTTCAGGAAACAATAGAACAAATAACAGAAACAGTGCCCCTAGCCCTAAAATAATAACAGCTGCTACACTATGATAAAGATCAGAATTACACGCTTTCAAGAGCAGCAATATCTGCATATAACGACACATTTCTGGAATTAATTGCAAAACTATTACATTAGAAATAAAGCAGAACACGTCAAACTCGAACCTTAGAAGAGTAAATGGCTTTTTCGTTTGGCGCACTGCGCAGAAGATGCACATTGAACTCCACTGGTATGTCAGCAAATCCCGGAATCTTGTACGCCCCAGGCCCTGTCGTCTATAGCGTGCCGGTCTGAGAGCATCGAACTTTTTCAAGAGTAAACAGACCCAATCCTTGTACAAAACCACCTTCGATCTGAAAGTAGAGTGAAAAATATAAAATATGAGCAGATTTTTAGTGACAGGAAGAAAAGCGTTGGCTTAGTTTTTGAATATCCCACATTCTATCAACTTGAGCTGAAAAACGGCCAATTTTGACTGACTGATCGGATTGGGGGAATTGGGGCCGGGGATCTGGTATCTAAATAAGAGACATCATCCCAATGAGGATCGAAGCGCTGGGAGAACAGTCACCAAGAAAAAAACGGACGGAAGACACAAAAGTCCCAGAAAATTGAATTTTCTTAGACTTAAAGAGACTTATAAAGCACACCTATATCATCTCTGCTAGAGCTCTCTCTGAGGCATGCTGGGATATGCTGTACTTACCTGTCCAATGTCGATAGCCGGGTTGAGACTGGTACCAACATCCATCGCGGTATTGGTACGAAGAACCTGTTATGAGACAAACTCACCAAAGCAATTGTAGTAATTACAATTCGTACTGTGGCGCTGATTTCGTTATCGCATAAATGTTGTTGAGACTGCCCCTTTAAACAACACAAATCCATCCGCTGGGACAACGGGCTTCGGATTAATCCAGTACCCTAACCCGGCACCAGACCATGCTGCCTCCAAGTTTGAACAACAATTGAAAAGGTAAGGTCTGTATACGAGCTATGTGATCCTTCAAGCCGGAGGGCTTCCCGCGATTTCTGTAGCATGAAGTGACCAGGAGTATTCCTACTCCCCTCCTGGATGGGAGGCTAGTTCGTCGCAGGGTACCCCCAACATTAATTTCGCCGGTACCCATTTATACGCCTAGGTGGAGAGAGAGGCACTGTGAGAGTAAAGTGGTTTATCCAAGAACACAACACAATGTCCCCGGCTAGGGCTCGAACCCAGACCGCTCAATCCGGAGGCGAGCGCTCTAACCATGAGGCCGCCGCACCTCCCAAAACAACAATTACGTTTGGAGAATGGACATTATCAACCCGTCTTTGAGAAATGCAACAAATGACCGCTACGTCAGAGATCCATGATTCAGCAAACAGCATGCTCTGGAAACAAACGGTGTTACGGTTATGATGATGACTGAGTGGAGTCCAATTCGGTCTCTTGTCATGCCAGTGATAAACAAATCATTCAACTGTCAGCTTGCCGGAGGTGAGGTTTGTTTTTTCAAGTG